TGAGAACTAATTTGGTCAACCCCTTGATTGTACACTTGAGAGAGCCTAAGCAAAAGACCCAGCTAAGCTATGCCAAAACTATTAAGTCACAGAACTTTTTAGAAGTTCGTAAAAGTCATAAAGCAATAGAAAACCAAAATATTATGCTTATTTCCTAATAAGCTTGTCTGAAAGATTTGTGATGACAAACAGTTTAAGGAATTAATAATTCTTACATTTGTTGAGTCTACAATTTAACAATTTAAAGTGATATTACATTTTTCTTTCTTATACTTTAGAAAACACTGGTGTGAGGGTATCTTCACATATGTTCTCAACTGAAAAGCATTATCTTTTTTTCTTTAGAGAGAGATTAATAAGCACCTCAGTTCTAATACTTTCCCAGTTATGCCTTTATTATAAAGAAAACAGAATGAAGTAGATTTGACATTTCAGTGTTTCTGGTTATAAATGGAATAGTGCTAGATTAGCTAACAGCATATCACTACAGTTTGATAGTCATGGATCCTATAAATGTGTGCTACTTTTTGATGTTTGCTTTTTTTTTTGAAATGCTTTTATTATTGATGATGTTGTCCAATATTTAGAAAATCCAGAATGATTCAAAGGCAAAAATGAGTAAGAAGTCTAGTTTTCTAAAGATATATTGAAGAAAGGAACTCATTGGGAATTACTTGTTCTCCTATATTGCTGATTAATGCCTACTTGACCAAATCCTTCCTCAAAACAAAACAAAACAAAACAAAACAAACAAACAACAACAACAACAAAAAAACACTTCTCAACCCTGGACAAAATACCAAAAAACAAACAAAATATCTGCCATACTTGGGAGGGAAGAATCAAAAGAATCCTTGGAAAGAGAATAAAAGTAGGCATTTTCTAGAGGGAAATGGATAGTTGGAAGAAGAGACTACATGGATGAGTTTCCTGTTTAATGGCAGTTAGCCTAAGGGAAGTTTGAATTCAGCACCATGCTCACATAGGTTAAACCTTGATTAAAAAGTCTGTAAATTTTTCTGGCCTGGAGTTGCAGGAAATAGATCTGGGAACAATCAAAGCTGGTGGAAAATGAGGGTGGAATATTGTGAAAGAGAAAGCTAAAAAGGGAGAGAACAAAAATTCTACTTTTAAACAATGTCCAAATCTTTAGTTGATCTCTAAAGCACACTAACACTGAGTAGACTGCAGGCAGATCAATTGAGAAAAACTACATACTGAAAAGAGATTTGAGATGCTCTCAAGAGAAACTGTTTGAGTTCAACCAAGCTGACTGCTAAAATTAAAAATAAACCAAAAAAATTCCTCAGAGAAATGTAATATCAAGAGTCTCTCCAAACATAACATTCACAATATCCAGCATATAGTCCAGAACAATTTGACACTATGAACCAGGAAATATAATTCTTTTTCTAGGAGAGACAATCAAGAAAGACCAATGTTAGAACAAGCAAAGATACTAAAGTAGCTATTATAACTATACCTGTGCTTAGAGATGTAAAAAACATTTGTGCACTACCAGTGGAAAAAAAGAAATCTCAGCAAGGAAAAAAATCATAAAAAATATGGAAAACTTAGACTTGTAGAATATGTTATTGGAAATTTAAAAACAAAGAGAAAGAATGATCACTGGATAGATTTAAAAACTGAATAAAGATGGTAGAGAAGTAACCTAAAATATAGATCAATAGAAAATATATTGTTTGCAGACGTTTGATAAAGATATATTGAAAATAATTGAACAGAGTCTCAGAAGCCTTTGGAACAATATCAAAATGTCCAATGTGCCTATAATTGGAGTCCTAGAAGGAGATGAAAATATTGAACAAATAATGATTGACTACTTCTTTAATTTTTGAAGAACAAAGGCATATTCAGAAATTCTAGACGCTCAGTAAACCCTCCAGAAAAGATAATTATGAAGAGAACTATACTTTGGCATGTCATATTCAAGTTGTTGATCATCCAATATTAAAAGGAAAATTTGTAAACAGAAAAATATTGCACATTATATTTAAGAAACATGATTTAAATTTCCATTGACTTCTCATATCAGAAAAACTGGAGCCCAGTGTTTAAAGTGATATGAATAATTAATTAAAATAATTTGCATTATTAGAAGGCAGCGGTTACATCTACAATGTCTACAAGGAAGCATCAGATCATGTAAATGATCTGGGATGTGTGTGTGTGTGTGTGTGTGTGTGTCTGTGTGTGTGTGTGTGTGTGTGTGTGTGGTAGTATTCCAATCTAGCTCATTGTTATCTTATTGGAAATCAGAACCACTGTTGCCATATTTATGTTTTTTTGTTTTTTTGTTTTTTTGTTTTTTTGAGTTGGAGTCTCACTCTGTCGCCCAGACTGGAGTGTAGTGGCCGCTCCCGGCCACCGCAGCCTCGGCCTGCTGGGCTCCAGTGATCCTTCCACCTCAGCCTTCCGAGTAGCTGGAATTACAGGCATGTGCCACCACGCCCAGCTGATTTTTTGATTTATTGTAGAGATGAGGTCTCGCTGCCCAGGCGGGTCTCGAACCTGCGGGCTCAGGCAATTCACTCACCTCAGCCTCCCAAAGGTACGGGATTAAAGGCTGAGCCACCGAGCCCGGCTATATTTATGTTTTTCAAGTGAGGAGAGGAAGCTAACTTTGAATGTGAAATTTCTTGAGTTTTAGATATTGTCTCTACAATTGTTTAAAACTATTGCACCAATGAAATGTCTATGAGTTGAATGAAACTCCAGGTCACTAATAAGGGACTTCAGTTCATGAATAATGAAGCATCAGATGAAGAAAAAAAAAAAAAAAAAAAGACAGAGATTTTTAAGTAGGACAGACCAATCTATATTTTCTATCATTTACCACACAATGTGAGACTAATTTGATGGAAATTATAAAAGTCAGGGGTGGCCACATTTATTTAAGATTAAATAATCTTTTCATTATCCATACAATTTCTTTTTTACTGTAATAGATAAACATGAGAACGTTGTGGTACTATTAATATAAACATAATTACTAGAGACTTATTAGAGGAAGTATATAAAATTATCATGTACTTCTCTCACTGGTCTTAGAAGAGGCTGGCACTGAAGTTCACGCTAAGCTATAGTTAAAGGTGGTACTAAGGGTATACTTTGGTTAAATGCTTTCTCCTCCAATATGCTCTGAGCTAAGTGTTGTCATGATGTGTTATTCTTTTGCCAGTTGAATAAGGAACATGCTCAGATAACTTCTTTAATTATTCCACAGTAGTGCCAGCTTGCTGAAATAAAAATTTTTCTTTTTTTTTTTTGTAATTTTTAAACTGCATGTGGCTGATTGGATTATCCATCCTGTAGGTAGTACGAGGTACATATTATATTTGATGTTAAGACCACAAATCCCTGGAAGAAGAAACATTTAGAAGGAATTACTATACAACTAAAAAGGAATTTCAGCCTTACAAAACTTCTAAAAGATACTTTCTAAATATTTGGTCTTAAACTACACCTAAATCTTGGATAGTTTTTTTTTTTGCATGCAATAAATATTTCTCTAAAATACATGAATTGGCCATTCTATACTTGCTGGGAGGTTTCATTTTGACAATTTAGGAATAAAGACTAGAAAGTCACCTTCATAAAATGTATGTTAGAAACATGGAACACACATACAATTAACTTTTCAAAAAAGAAAGCAAAACTAAAGAGCAAAAAAAAAAAAAAAAAAAAAGAGTGGTTTGGAAATAGAATGCGCAGTCAGCAGTTTCTACTTTTAAGGAAAAACATTTCTGTTGCCCTTTTCTCCTCTGCTGTTGTTTTAAATCTCTTCTGCTTCTTTTCTTGTCTAAACTTCACACTGTCCTTCTCTGTCACATTTTCCTCATGTCCCAATCTCTTGGTTTTATTGTCTGCCTAAAAACATGTAGAGACTTTCTCTTTTAGGGAGAATCAAACTAAGAAATCACCCCTTGACCCTGCTATGCTGGTGGAATATTTAAATTTTGTTTCATTTTTATTGTTCAAATGTTTTGGAAATGTTAACATAGTCACTTGTAACTATTTCATGAAAACACAATAGAGGAAAAGTGGAGTGCATGCTGCTGGGAAGTGGAACTCTCCAGTTTAGAAGTGTCTGTGTTGCATCAGCAAATCAGCTTACCTGCGGGTTGGTTTTGTTCCCTATGCAGTAGAGATACTATTACTACTACCAAATAACTGATTTGCAAGAATGAAACGAGAAAATGCCCTCATGATCCACTTAAGCCTTACAATCCATTTATGAGGCAGGTCTTGTGAGTTCTCAGTCGCTGCATGCTCAACTGAATTTATGCTTGTTTTTTTGCTTCTTTGATTAAAGCTTACATAAGAAATATAAAGGCAAAAAATAAAGGCAAATTGCTAACTTCACCATTGTTTATAACATAAAGCAGAAACATTAAATTAGAAAGCTCACTTAAGAAGTGGCTTTAAAGTTGCTTCAGGGAGCCCATGGTCTTCTAAGAAATTACAAGAGAGGAAGAAGGGGAAATGGCAGGCAGGACTTCTGGTTCTAGCATCGTTTAAAGAATTCTGATTTTATCTGTTTTATTTTTTGTATAATATATTTTTGTACAATACATCATTGGAGGAAATGACTTTATGGCCCACAAAAAATTGTAGAGATCCTTTGGCCTAGTGCAAAAGAAAAAAAAAAAATCTAAAGCCTACAGCTAGAAGCTTTGTCTTCTACCTTACATCTTTGGTTTCATTGGCAGGATAGCTGGGATCATTAATAGTGCTGGTATTAATTTTTAAATTGCATAAAACATAATACTTCACATTTGTTGTATTACCTCTAGTGATTTCTTTAGAAAGCTTTGGCTTCCATGAACGTAATGGAAACTTACTAAGGAAGGACTATTAAACCTATAAATATATTTTACATTTACCTCCAAATACCATCAAACAAAGCTTTTAAAAATATAGAATAAATAATTTTCTTCCTCATAATGAAATTACATTGCATACAGATGTTGACATACCGGATCATCTGGATTATACTGAATAACATATTCTATCTGTCCATTTGGGCCATCATCAATGTCCGTAGCTCCATTGTCTCCTGAAAATCCTGTAAATATTGTGGTGCCAACTGGAGTGAGCTGAAAATAAAATGAAAGAAAAAAGTTTCATTTCATCAGCTGCACATCAGAAATGTTCTAGCACAAAAACCAGCTCTTTATTACACAAAGGAAGAGAAAAGTTAGCAGCTCACAACCACTAAACTGAAGCACCTCACAAGAACAATTTTGAACCTTACATAAGAGCTCTTAAAACGTCTGAAATGTCCAACTTCACAATCCTTGCTATGGGTGAAGAAATAGAAACCCTGAATGCAGTGTGAAGCGCATTTGGACTGATTGATAAGCTTTAACATCTTCACACTTGTGGAGAAAACATATCTGTTGTTTCTTCCTAAAGAACCTTGATGTATTGTTATGTATAATCTAGAATTTAGGTTGCAGAAAAAAATCTTATTTTAAAATTAAAAAACGAAACACTGAGTATACAAGGACATAAGGATGGAATATACAAGGGCATAAGGATGGAAACAGCAGACAATGGGGACTGTTAAAGGGGAAGCGGAGGTAGGAAGGTAAGGGCTAAAGAAATAACCACTGAGTACCATGCACATTATTTGGAGGACAAGATTAATAGAAACCCAAATCTCATCATCACGCAATATGTAACAAACCTGCATTTGTACCCCTTGAATCTAAAATAAATATTTTTTTCAAAAAAAGAAGTGTCTTGATTCTGAGGTTGCGATAGATTTCAGAAAATAAAACTATAAGTGAGTTGAAAAAATATGCCCATTGCCCCAACAATCACACTAGCTTGCAATCTTTGATTTAGGAAAATAATATAATTATGATTAAAGAAAGAAGTCATAAGTACAAGGAAGTTGGGTATTTATGAAACCAACCTTACTGGCAAGCATCTTCAAAAGTAAATTTTAAACAGCTGAGAATTAAATGAGAAGAGATTATTTAAGTGGTACATATAAGAACACCAGAAGACCACTGCAGGATGAACTTTGTGGAGATGTTAGTTCAAAAAATAGCCTCCAAGTTGGTGTTTCATTTTTTTAAATGCAAACTCAGTCCCAAAAGACATCTTTCCCTTGTATAAAATATCACCCATTCTATGTAGCTATGATTTGATTTTTCAAATTTCCTATTTATTTACTTACAAATAAAAATATAACTTGTATATATTTACTATGTACAATATGATGTTTCTTTTTTTTTTTTTTTTTTTGAGTTGGAGTCTCACTCTGTCAC